CAAGAGATCACGTATGGTAAATCTGGGAGGTACCCAAAAAGTCGACTTTTTGGGTACCTGCTGTGGTGGTGATGGGTCTGAACTCTTAGGCAATGATATTTTGCGTTTGTGCTCCTCGCAGTGGGCGCAGCGAAACAGCGGCTCTTTAGCCTGGCGTTCATCACAGATCCTCTTCTCTGTATGTTGGAGTGTCTTTGCCGAAAGCCGGGAGAAGGCTGCTTTGCTCCGTTCTTCTCCACACTGGGTGCAACGAAAGAGCGGCTCTTTGGCACGGCAGTCGTCACACACCCTCCTCTCTGTATGACTGCATGTCTTGGCTGAGAGCCTGGAGAAGGCCGCTTTGCTCTTTTCCTCCTCACACTGGGTGCAACGAAAGAGCGGCTCTTTGGCGCGGCAGTCGTCACACTATCCTCTTCTTCCTATGACTGAATGTCTTGGCTGAGAGCCTGGAGAAGGCCGCTTTGCTCTTTTCCTCCTCACACTGGGTGCAACGAAAGAGCGGCTCTTTGGCACGGCAGTCGTCGCAAACCCGCTTGTCTGTATGATCCCATGTGTTGGCGGAGAGCCTGGAGAAGGCCGCTAGGCTCTTTTTCCGCCCCACAGTCGGTGCAACGAAGGAGGAAGGCTTTCTTGTATTCAGCGCGACAAGCATCGCACTCCCTTCGCTGTATGTGTCGCTGCAGATTGGGGGTGAGTTGGAAGGCCTCCCGCTGTTTCAGCAGAGAGCAGCGCCCGCACTTGTAGTGGAAACCGCGCGACGCACAGTTCTGGCAACAAGCGTGCGCGAGGACCTCTGCCTGAGAGCTTTTCGTCTGAAGATACCACTTGCCGCAGGCTTGGCACATACGCTGGCCTTCTTGTTGTGGGCATCTGCGCGGCTTACTGCCGCAGTACCTCTCGCAGAACACCGTGGCACTTGAAGACACCGCGCGCACCGCCGCGCGTCCCCAAGCAGCAACTGTGACATGGAAAAGTGGCTGGCCGTGCGGGGACCACAGCCGCAACAGCGAAGTTCCGCATCTGGCGACGGCTGTGTTGTGTGGGGAGCTGGCTGCACAGGTGTGGTTTCTTGTGTTGGGACTGTGTGGCTGGCATGGTCTCGTCTCCTTTCCTCCTGGACACATGCATCGCAACGACGACGTCGTGTCATTCGCAGGGTCGTGGGAGCATACCAGTCTCGTTGATGGCTGAAGTGATGCAGTGGCTTCGCCAACGTGCAGCGCCCGCACACCCACAGCGTGCCATGTTTCTTCTGGCAGGCAGCGCACCACGCGTGTTGCGAGTTTCCCGGGGATAGGAATTCCTTGCCACACGAGCGGCATATGGAGTACCCTGCGCACCACAAACACCGGGAAGTTCCCGGCGGGATTGCGACTGTGCAAGTGGGGCACCGTCTGCAATTGCTGCACGCTGTACACTGCCGCTGGGGGCCTTTCAAGAGCTCACGGATGGTAAACTCAGTGGCTGGACAGAGGCCGCAGGTGGCACACACAACTTGGGGGCTGTCCTTCTCGCAGCGCTGCGGACGCCCGCGGAGTTTCTCGGCAACCTGCTCCCACGCAATCGCCTCCCCACGCAATCGCTTCAGCAACAATTCGGGCCCGACCTGTCCACCTCCGCAGAACATGTGTCTGGGGAACTTGCGAAAAATCCACACATCCTGGCTGCGGCGAACACGAGAGAGGGATACATAGGCTCCTTGCTTGGACATGTTCCCGGAGACGTTGATGTCGGTAATAGCCTTCGACCAGTTGCCGCCTTGCGCGGCGGCCGTGCAGGCGTATGCCGGTAACAACGGCAGTTGGCAGCGAGTGAGTTGGGAACTTCTCTTCCTTCCTTTGTCGAGCCGCCATCCAGCCTTCAGTGGCTTCACCGGGTACACTCCAGGTGGCAAGCCCGGCAGCTCCCACGCGGCGTCAGCAATGCGCACCAGGACATACTCCACCATTCCCTGTAGCATGACCTCGGCGCGTGCGGGGTCTGTTGCTCGTGGAGGGGCCCTTCGGGTATCTCGACGGAAGTACGTCTAATCGTGTTGAGGGGTGAGTCTAAACTAAGGCTTTTCCAGCATTCTCCTAGGAATGCTCTAGGCTTTGTCTAGATTTTGTTACGTTTTCGGCTGGATGCTTTTCCAAGAATGTTCTAGCATTTCCTCTTGTTTTTAGGTTCCCAGATTTCCCCTAAAATTTGTTAACCTTTTGTTAACCTATTTTACCAGTGTCCGGGCTTTGTCTAGGTGCCCAAAAAGTCGACTTTTTGGGTACCTGCTTTGGTGGTGACGGGAGTAAACTCTTGGGCAATGATATCCTTTATGGGGAGAAGGGTTCAGCATCACGGGCTTCATGCAAGAGATGGCGTCCGATGGTAAATCTAGGAGGTACCCAAAAAGTCGACTTTTTGGGTATCTGCTTTGGTGGTGATGGGTTGGGTCTAAACTCAGGTGTCAGGCAAGCGCTACGGCCGAGGCCACTACCTCGTCTGCGTTTCGTCCGGTGGCAGCTCAGGAACCTCTGCGTCTTTGCTCGGTAGCGCGGTCTCCTCTTGTGAGACTTTCCAGCCAACCACATGGCACAAGCACCCACGGAGCAAGAGCTTTGGTCGATCAATATGATCACTCAAGAGCATAGGCATGCCCAGAGCTAAGGGCACCAGCCCGGGCAGATCTCCACGCTCGCGATCGTGTCGCTGCAGAAATTCGACCTTTCTCTGCGCTAAATGGGGGTCTGTTGCCAGAAGTTCCAACGGTATCTGATCTTGTGCAAAGTTCCAGAGCAGCTGCAGTCCGCGCTTGGCGGCGAAGGCTCGTGCACGGTGCTTGTTAATCTCTGCGCGAACGTCGTTGTTGGGGACAATGACTCGGGTGAACTCATGCTCATCGGACTCCAATGTTCGCGCTCCTACACAAAATTGCACTTCTTCCCGTGTGAGTATCTACAACTTGCGCGTCCTGGGCAACGCCCTGGACTCAACTCCAGTGTTGCTTCTGTCCGTGCTTCTACTTCTCGTGTGGGTCCGGTCGCGTGGTCACCGCAACACGCTTACCGTTGGTTGTGCAGGCTATAGGAAACGCATAACACAGACACCGGCTGCCTCTCACCCGACGACTTGGGTGATCCTGCATTTTGCTCCAGGGGTGCTCCAGGAAACCCTACCCTCCCCACATCCAGGGCAACGTCCTTCCTCCCACCGTGGAACCACCCGCTTCCACACCCTTCCGTCCCCCCCGGCCTACCGCACTGCAGACATTCCGCCACGCGCGCGTGCCGCCCGCATGTACATGGCTACGGTCTCTTCCCTCGCTGGCGCGAGAACCTCGCCACCACCTGCCCAAGCTTCCGTTTGCGCTGCTCCGTCCTAGAACCAACACGCCACATGGCGCGGACACGGGCGCCTGACAGGCATGCGAAAATCTTACCAGAGCCTTTCACGTTACCACGGGCACTGGCCGGACCTCGTCCAGCCGTCCAGCGCAAAATCTAAACAAAGCCTAGAGCATTCCTAGGAAAATTCCAGGGCATTTGCCGGGAACACTAGAATCAAATAGGTTAACAATAGATTAATCAATTTTTGGGGAAATCTGGGAACCTAAACACAAGAGGAAGTCCTAGCAAATTCTACAACAATGGAAGAAAATAGGTTCGCAATTTTCTACGCTTACCTGGGAAATCCTACAACTCCCTTTTACAACAAACCCCGGGTCCGGAAAGGTAAAAAAGTAAGGTCTGAGTCTAAGTCTAAGGCTAAGGCTAAGGCTATGGCTAAGGCTAGGCAAGGCTAAGGCTAAGGCTTAAGGCTAAGGCTAACATAGAGCAAGGCTAGCGCTAAGGTTCTATCCCTTGGGGGTCGGCGGCTGCAGGCGGTAGCCTGGTAAATAGAAGCACTATGAAACATCTTTGATGTTCCTGACAAATATGAGAAAAGTGGGGCCTGACGGATGAGACATGAGAAATGAATATGTTTTTGTCAGACCTAAACCAACCACGCAAGGTTGGCTGACCTAGTTCGCGGATAAAGGGCACAACAAATCAGTTGCCTCAGTAGCCTTAATGTATATATAAAGTTTTGAGCATGCTTAGGCTTGCTACGGAAAACAGCCTCAGGAAGTAGAAAAGCGTGGAGAGTCTATGCAACCGGCTGAGTACATCAGCAGCCGGATTGATGCACTTGCTGCAAACGCTATCAGGCATCAAGCATGCGTCCATTGCACGTCTGCACATTCACCCGCAGGTGTTTGATGTTGACTGAGCTGTCCAAAACAAAGCTGGTGATCCGGAGTTCCATCTGTAGTAGTGTGAATGCATGTGGCATGTCTATATAGGTCTTGTGATGGTCGGTTGCCTTGGATTCCCTAAAAACCTTCAAAACGGTACTGTGGAACAAGGGATCCACTGGGATTCACCTGCGTTAGGCATGGCGTTAGCATGGCGTCAATGAAATGTGCATTCCTTGGCAAAAGAGCGCCGTGCAGCACCGCGCAGGATCCTCGATTCGTTCGTTTCGTTCGTCCAATTCGTCCAAGATGCAATCAGAGAGAAGTCGATTTGCCTTGCAACCAAATGCGACGGAGCAACGAAGCAAAGAGTCGTGCAACTAAGCAGCGCAAGCCACGAAGCTGTGTAAGCAGCTTACCAGTGTGATCAATGCTGGCTCCAACTGGCCTTATCTCCTCCAATTTCATCCATTGCCAAGCTTGTTTTCACATCGGCAAAGATTTCCTAAGACAGAAGGATGAAGTAGGAAACAAGGAAACGCAAGCTGATCAAACCTTTCAAAAGGCGTGCAAGGCTTTTTGGACCAAAATTTATCTGAGAATCTGGGCGGTCCGGTCGTGACATTATATCCCCGCGCCGGAAAGCGTATTCCTGAAGGCTGGACGCAAAAAAAAAGTGAGAATCGTTCAAGCAATGAAGCTTTGCAAAACAAATGGTTGGACCAGCCACAGTCCTGCCAGGTGTTCTTGTTCTCATTCCGTTTAACTGCAAGTACTTCGAAGCCTTGTGGAACCTGCAAAGCTGCGAAGTAAAGTTAGTTGTATATGTATAGTTATATAACTCTTTCTATCTTGTCGCCATCACTACTAGGTTGGAGGCCATTGCTATTAGGTTGGAAACAAACTCAGTCTAGGTTTAGGGTTGGCAATGTGTTCGTCCTTGGGATTGGTCGGGTTGTGCTTGGCCCGGTCTTTCGTGTAGGCTTTCCTGGGAGATATCATGGTTTGCCCAAATCGCCAAAAATGCCAAACCCTAAAGAAGACCCTCTTGCTCTTGTGAGATCTTCTTAGGCTGAGCTCCAGGCCTGTATGTCTTGTCTAGCAGTTTCTGAAATTCTTCCACTGCTGTCTTCCCTATCGTTCTCAAGTGTTCAAGAGATGATGGGCTCAAATTCAGATATTATTCATGCGAAAATATGATTCTCATGGACAAGGACAAGGAATAGTCGGTCTGCCACAAAAGCACTGTTCCTGGCAGCGAAATCAGCTCATTGAAATCACCATCATGGTGACTCCAATACGGCGGAAACCTCAGCATCATCAGCTCTGTGACAAAGCTCCACACAGAGCATCTCAAAGCATTGCAATTCATGTTGTCAAGGAATCCCACGGAACTTCTCCAGTTGTTGCTTTCGCCACGTGCAGGCCTCTCTTGTGCTTGCACTCCTGAAAATTGTTGTATGAACTCTTGAATTGATAGATTGATAGCATCACCAGCTGACAACTACGCAAACACGTATGACCAAGCTCTGCCACTCCTTGCATTTCTTGCCATGGTCGTCCTCCTCAAATTGTCATACCCCTACATTTGCAAAATGATTCTGTTGCCAGGAACAGCCTAGACCTAGACTATTGCAACAGGATTGGAATATCTCTTCTTGACATATCAGGGAATCGAGCAGCAGATTGTACTAAGGTCCCGGCGTCTTTGCCACCATAGGCTTCACACGGACAACCTATTACACTGCAAGGTGATGATGCCATCATGAGGCTGGCGGACCTCAAGTTGCACGTGCAGAACGTTTAGATTTATGCAAGCATGCAATGTCACGCTCTGCAACAACCACCGAGTCCGATATTCTCTCCAATTCTGGACAAATGACTCGTCAGAAAAAAGAATAGAAAAACTGAGTATGTTGCTTGCCCAGCATTTTGGCGACGCCTTTTACGATGTCAAAACCAGGCAATGAAAGCACAATGCATGTGGATCAAATTGGGTTCCTAGGAGCCCCGGCCCAGTTCCAAGCCAAGTCGCGGCCCGGCCCATGATGCAAACTCGCCAAAGTTCACCACTCCATTGCCATCCTGGGGATGCAAAGGCTCGTGGCGGCATGAATCTCACATTGGTACAGCTCAGTATAACTTGTCAGTCTGAAAACTGATCTTAACCGTGCTTGCCTCATCCAAGTGGTTCCAGGCCTTCAAGTGACAAGGACCACAATGACAGCCTACGAGCTGATGGAGCTCTTCTTGTCCTTTGCCTCATCAGTGATACTTCCCAGTACATCGCCACAAGCCCTGCCAATGAGAGACAAAATACTTGCACATCGCATCACATCACATGAATAGCATTCCACTGCCAGCCTCTTGATCATGGCCAGAGACTGCTCAAGTTCCTTCCTTGACAACTTCCCCGATCCATCTGCATCGCTCCAATCCTTGGCTCTCTCTATTCTTGATGCTTTCTCCAACGCTTGAAATGTTGCAATAAGTAGACACCAGCAAGAGCAACTGTTCTTGGGACCTTACAAAAATTGTCCTCAATGTTAATGGATCAGGCTGAACGTCCTGCGGAAAACCAGAACATAGAAAAGTCCAAGAAAAGAGAAAGCCATTCAAGCTAAGATACAACAGAAGCAGAAGATGCTGTCCTTCGTCATTGAGCAGGCAATGGCATAGTCCTCGCAAGCTTTCTGTGCACGTGAGACTCTCAAGAGACAGCTTAAGACTGACAGCTTGGCTGCCTGACTCCCCTTCACCAGAAATTCAGAAAGAACTTGAAGGAACTGCTGAAAAGGGGCAAAGACCCGAAGGGACAGAACAAAGCTCAAAGAGACTCATTTTCCCTTTCACCTTGGTTTTCACAGATTTGGCCTCTTTCCAGCCATCGTCATCATCCAGCTTCAAGCTGGCAAGCTCCTGTTCACGCTCCTGGATTGCCCTTTGGAGAGTTCTTTCATCTGCATCTTGTAGTTGAGAGAAATGAATGGCACGAGCTGCAAGAACTTCAGCTTCCAACTCTTTCAGGCGCATTATCAGGCGCTCATGAGCTTCTCTGGTGGCGGCGGTCAAGCCTGCACTGGCATCCTTCTGCTCAAACTCCCTCACCACACCGCTGAGGGAATGAAACACTTCGAGCCTCTGCCACTTCGTGATGCTATTGCTCTCAACTGGCTTGTGCCCTTTGGCGCATGCCAATGTGATGTGAGGAACTTGGTTAACGGATGGGCAACCAATAACACCCACTGCAACAACACCCTTTGTCCTCCCAATCGACACAACTTTCACAGAACGTCTATCCTTGGGTTTCAGCTGGCGGATCAATGCTTGGAGATCCTCTGACAGCTTGTTCCCGTTGGACCGTGCATCTGCAAGGCTTCCTAAACAAATGGTCATGTGATGAGCATAGATTGTCCAACCATCTGGGATAAACTCCGTGAAAGTCTCCTGTAGCTCCTGGCAACTACTGCAATCAAGCTCAAGAGCTGAAAACACTGGTGACGAAGACGGGCTTTTCTTGGGACTGGAGGGATTGTCACTCGGACTGGAAGGACTTGAAGCCCGCCCCGTCGTTTCCGGTGGCCTGAAAACGCACAGCTCTTCTGATCCATCCGGAAGCTGCAACATCTGACATTCCAGGCCAAGCGCGGTAGAAGTCCTACGGACTGTCTCGCACTTAGCAGCTGTCATTTGCTGGCTGCTCGCAGGAAAGGACATAAACTCCTCCGATAACTTCGAAAAGTCGCGCAGCCTTTCGCTGACCTCATTACTCCATTCCTCTCTAGATTCTCCTTTTGTCCTAAGCTTTAAAGACTCATCATATCCTAGCTTGGTCAAGTCTGACCAGGATTCTTCTAGAGAAACCTCTGTTTGGCGCTTGTACATTTCAACGAAGCCTCGGAGAGAGAGTCCACCACCGCTGGCGCCGTCAAGCCACTCAAACATGGATTTCATCTCGGAGACCTCATCTGGCGTAAACTCTTTGGAATCTTTGTTGGCGGACCGGCTGAAGGCCTGCAGTTCTTCCTCCGACAGCATATGGTCGCCATCAGAGTCAAAGCGAGAAAATATCTCCACTAAGCACTGCTTGAAAGGGCTTGTCAACTGGCCACCTTCCATCAAACATGCTTTAGGAGGGCGTGTTGATGCACCAGTACGGTCGGGATGTGCTGTTGCCTCTCCTTTTGCGGCAGACTTTTTCTTACCCATAGCTCGCAGTGCGCATAAACCTCTATTAGCTAGTTTTGCTATGCAGTCTTTTGTCGTTTATGCATCATTTTTGTGATGATGTTATTTTTTTTGGTTGTCATGTTTGTTTCATTTTGCCGGTATGTCGGTGTTTTCTTTTGCATGCCTTTGGCATTTTTTCCTTGTGTTTTGGAGCCGATGAATCTTGATACTTCCCTGCTCAACCCTACAGGGCCAAAAATACTGCGGCAGGTCTGTGACGCTGAGACTCTTTGGTGCTACTTTGGTTACTGCCAAATGCCACCGCCACGAAAGCAACAAGACGTCCTCGTCTAAAGGGTGAGCTACATCCTCAGCAAACAAGTGACGACGAGTGAATCTTGCTGGGAACGATTTCAAGACGTGACTAGCTGCTTTCATAGGAACATTCTAGGACAGTCCTTCAGATGCGCATCAGAGCGGTCCCTGCACTTGGCTCCTTTTGTGCATGCCTCAAGCTGAGCTATATAACTGGACTGAGAGTCAGCATGAGCCAGTTGAGCAATATGAAAAAACTTCACGCTGCCCCAAGCGGCCTTGCGAGAGCTGGTTGGCGCAGGTGCAGCGCCACCACAGGTTGGATCATGAATTCCAATTCCCTGATGTGCTTCAGTGGCACAAAGAAGCTCACACTGTGGCCGGCTGCATTCACTTTTTGGGATTTTTTGTCTTCTCCCGCTGTCACAGAAGCATGTTCCTTGTTGTTGTCTTGCATCATTGTTTTCTGTTTCTGGTATGTTGTACCTGTTCCAAATTTTGCGAGGTGGATCTGCATAGAGCAGCCAATCTAATGAAATAACAACCTCTTCTTCAAACTGGACAACCACAGCCAACATCAATCATCATAGCTAAATCCACAACCCGCAGCACATCATCTTTGCAGCACGCTCCATAACCCTTGCATTCCATTTTAAAGTTAGGATATGCTATCGACAAGGGTCATGGCATGGTGTCGCTAAAAAGTCTGAAGACATCACTACAGTTAAGGTCAGCCAACATAAAGCAAGTGAGGAAAAGGTCCTGCTTCCCTTCCAATTGTGATGAAAAGGACGAGCATAAAGCCAGCCAGCCCGGATTAGCCAAAGCAAACACAGGCCAGAGGCTGAGAAAATGTTGGTGGATGTGTTTTTCAACTGCACGCTGCCTGAAAGGAGGTGGGCCACGACCTATATACGGCACTGAAGCCTATGTAAGAACGGAATGGGATTCTGTACGTCAGCGACAACACTGGAATGGTACAGAATGACCACTCGGCGCACAATGTCAATTCTTGCAACTCCAAATCTCATGCCGGTGACTATCAACTTATATCGTCTTGGCCTTGTCCTTCTGGCGCAAGTAAAAGGACTTTGTGGAATTGCTGCGGTGTCATCGGACCTGCTTTGCCCGGACCTCGCTGCATCGGCCTTGCTAGCCATACTCCGATGTCTGACGAGTGTCTGGTTGTCTGACGTTGCTGATTGAATGCAACTTCTGCTCAGCAAAAGCTTCGCAGAGGTTTACGGTGCTGCAGTGCTGTTGAAGAGCCTCTCCGGCTCATCTTCTTATCTTGCATGTTCTTGCCAACTATGGCAATTTGCAAGCCGAAGGATCCAAACAAATGTGATGTTGAACGTTTTCAGAGTTGACGAAGCTGATGGAAGGTGCTCCGCATGCTGCGAAAGGTTCTGAACCTGGATGGAGCTATGATAATTGAACCTTTGCTTCCATATTATCAACATCCTGCTGATTTGAAGGTACTGTCCAGTGTTCATGTCAATATCTAAAGGCCAAAGTATCTAGTGTCTTTGCACAATCTGCCGTAGGCAAGTGCTGCAAGCTACTTTGTCAAGCTGGGCCTTGTTCATGGCACAGGTCCTGGCTTCAAGAGCAGCTTCAAATTTCTACTTGTGCGTGGAAACCACATTCATAAACTAGTAAACGGAAAAGCGCCTGATATGTTCATTGTCAATGATTCAATGATGAGATGGTGGCTGATGTGTGGATGGCACGAATGATTTCCTATATAAAATGTGCATCAAGAAAACCAGCCGATAAACTAAATTGTTGGGAACAAAACGCCCGGCCTGCAACATGTGTCGAATTTGTTCCCTCTTTTGGTTTCACCAGGCTGTACCGGCCTAGGTCATCAATTGGATCCCCCTCTCTCAAGTCAAACAGGTGCACAAGGCAGCGGCTTGCCACAAGCATATTTGCAAAGGCGAGCCTCGGATACGAATTCGGCATTTGCACCTTTGCAAATGTTTATGTTATATACATGGTCTCATGATGAGCCCAAGAAAATCCCCCACAGTTGGGCATCAAAACCCGCCTACTACGTAAGCATTGGCACCATTGCAAGTTCACCAACTCGTCTCGTGTCTTTGCCAGACAACACTGCCTTCCAAAACGTGAGCCTTTTCAGTGTGCCATACGAGCACACTAACACGGCAATATGTTGGCATAGCATATGTCATGGGCCCATATATGTAAAGCAAGGCAAAGGCACTACAAGCAAGAACCAGAAAACACGCTCGGGCGCCCGCTCTGGAGTGTGTGTGCCAGCCGGTCAGCATGACGGCATGACCCGGCTTCAGCATCTCATCGTGACAACATGCCAGCATGTGAGGGTGACCCATGCCAGCGCGCCAGCATGGCAACATGTCAGCGTGACACTACACAAGGATATCAGCGCGACAACACGAATCATGTCATCGTATCCGCATGGCCTCAGTGACTCAGAGAGGCAGCAAGTCTGCAAATTGCTCCGGAACTCGCCCGAACTTCCACCATAGCTCCAGAAGCTTCAGAATCTCCTCTGCAACCTCCTCCAGAACCTGCTCCGGCACCTTCTCCCCAACTTGCTCCAGAACCTGCTCCGGGCCTCCCTCCCGAACCTCCTCCGGAACTTCCTGTGGAACCTGCTTCGGGACAAGCTCCGATCTGCTCCGAATTCTTCACTATAGCTGAAGAGCCCTAACCTTCGCTGTCGGGGAAAAAGTAGTCTTGTGATTGCTGTAAACATTGTTCGAGCACTGGTTTAAAGCAATCTTAAGTGCAAGTGAGGTGCATTTGTATCAAAGTCTCCATCCGGCTCAGTCTCAGTCAAGCTGGATATAGACGTGAATGGCAGCAACAAGAGTGTTGAGGTCCAACAGCAGTCATGAAAAACTGCAGTGCTGTATAATCTGAGGTAGCTTATAGTAGAACTTCCACTGGGTGCCAGACATCACTTTCAACTCTGCCCCAAACAACTGTCAGAAACAAAGCCATGGGCCATAGTCACATGTTGTGCTCAGTTCAAGTTCAAATCCATGATGACAACCTCAAGGAGGGAACTGGCCTTCATCATTTTCAACCGCCTGCGTACTTTGGCAGTCCTGAAAGAATCAAATGTGCAAAAATCCCTCGTGTATACCAACTGAGAAAAGGCTGGAAAACTCACACAGCATCTCTAACGCCACTATTTTACCGAGCCACGCCCATCGCGTCCCAGTCTCACTTGTACACCTGCGATACCGCTTGAGCCCAAATTGCCAGATTCATGGCACCCAAGCATTGTAAATTCCAACAAGCTATGTTTCACTAGCCGTCAAGCTCCACTGGAAAAAGCAAAGGCGGATTTTCGTTCAAATGGCCATCCAATCCGTTGGAGAACAAACTATTGCTGAGCATATTGCTCATCTTCAGAGAATAAGTCTGAGTGCCTAGCTACTGTCCTAGCTACTGGGAACGGAGATGCTGACAGATTCGCCAGACATCTGAGTTTGCGAAGCCCTGCTACCATTGCGGGCTGCACAAAATAGTCTACGTAGTTTTAAGACCTTGTAATCTTGGTACTTCTTGGGCAAACAAGTGATGGTCGCCATGATGCTCAAAAAGCCTTCCTCCCAAACTGGGTGGTGGCAGGACTGTCCTCTAAATGTTGTTTTTTTCCCAGTCCGTATCACCGGGATGTCAGAAATTTTGGCAACCTGGAGCTTTTGAGACACTGTCCGGCGACGTAGCCAGTTAAGTTGCAAACCAGTCCTTGCAAGGGCACCCAATTGAGAAGGAAGCTGCGATGCGAAAACGCAAACTGTCAAAGATTGACATAATCACTTGAAGTCTCCGTGTGAACTGCAAACTGTTGGTCTGAGCCTCGAAGGCACTGGACACATTCATTAGCCTGAAGTATTTTCGCCTCAAGTCCACGTCAGAGCCAACGCTAAAAGGACTTCAGAATTCTGGCGTTTCGCCTCCACATGGCCTAGCACATGCCATACTCCCAAGGTCCTGCACAGCGGCCGGAATCTGTCCACAAACAGCCGCCCCATGTTCCACATGGTTTCAGTTCTGCCCAGATTAGGTCCTGGTGCAGTGAGGCTGGTAATGTGATGGTACCTGAAAGCACAAACACAGAAGCAACATGAAGAGACTTGAAGCAACTTGTTATTCTGTTCGTGTTTGATTCTGCCAGGAATTGGAGATGCGGGGCACGAGTGGGCCCCGCCCATGTGTCGAGCCTCCGGTGCTTCATGGTTATCCAAGGATGCACTCATCTGACTCACTGTTCATTGACAACGAAAGGCTTGAAACCGACGAGTCTGTATTTGGAAGGCCAAGTGCCCCCTCCTTCGGTTCTGGTTCGTCTTTGAACGTAAACGAAGCCACGAGCGACACCTCATTGCGATCAAACAGAATGACAAACACGACAATGTGATGAACTTCAACGAGCTAAATGGTGACAAATCATAGGCTCAGCACATGATCAGATGGGCGGTTGCTTGAAGGGAGTGCGTGTTCCTGCGCTCAATCTTGTGCAGCTGATTTGACAAGAGGCAGGTGCCTCACTCCTTAGATCTCCTTAGAATTTTCAGCTGGATCGGAAAATTCAAATCGTGTGATGAGTCCGTGTTTAAATACACCCGTTGTTCAAGCTCTTGAGTCTCTTGAGTCTCAAAGTACCTCTGGTCCTTTCTTATCTGGACGCATGAAGCTGTCCTTCCTCAGCTCGCTTTCTTCATCCACCTGTGTAATTGCCACCACCTGGAGCACCTGATCTCAAAACTAGCCCAATGTGCAGATGAACATGATAGAGAAAGACCCCCATTGCCTCTGGTGAAAACCAAATGTAGTCAAGGGTGCCCTTGAAGTCCTGTGCTCACTGTGCTCAGCTTTCAGCAACGCTCACAATTACCAAGGCGGCGTTAAAACCAGATCGAGAGCACATGTTCATCGAGAGCCAAACCGAGTTGATAGCATGCATGGTGCTCTGGCAGCAGGTTGGTCCTCTGTGTAGTTTGTGAATTTTGCCTCATGACCTGAGCAGAGTGCCCGTGTAAGCTAGTCAATCCCACTGAATTGCCGGGCACTTGGCCAGTGCAAGTGGCATAGGCAGTAGACAACTTTAGGTTGTGGTGCATGTGCATTCTGAACCTCAAAGCGAGCAAAAAGAACGTGTGTTCCACACGTTTTCGGGTCACACTCTCTTGCAAATGCAAAGGTATATGGCTACCGGCTACCACAAAGCAAACGATAACTTGAAAACAACTACGGTCACAAGCACGCCTGCTGAGCAATCCTGATGGATCATGTCGAAGATCCTCCCACGAGAAACCGTTTAGGACAGCAAGGGTTCTTGCCTCTACAACGGACTCGGCATTTAAGAAGCCAGTTGGTACCTTGAAAGCAGAGTCCTCGTGAGCCCCATTGATCATGCCCTTCTTGAGGTATTCATAGACCTCTCCATCTTTGCCAAAACGCAAGGTAAGGACTGCTAAACTCTGCAACCCTTCGGAGAGAGAAATGGTGACCACATCGCAACAGCGCTGTTCAGACAGAGTTCAGAGCTTTATCGTGCTTCACGTGTTATAGGTCCCTCACAGCTGAATCAGGAGTGGAATTAAAGTCACCCGCAAGGAGCAGAGGCCTTGACACCATTTGAACTCGAGAAATCCTTGAAACAACTTGTTCTGCATGCGTCATGCGCCAGGGCTAGAGCCAATGATTCCAGCCCAAATGCTTGAGGGAATTCACCAGCAAGTAGGACTGCGGTCAATCAAAGATGTGTTCAAAAGGATACCTAGTAGCTTCCTTGCTCCTAGTAGCGATGCCAGGAGCCCCTAGTTGCGTCCTTGCTCCTAATAGTATGGCCAGGAGCCCCTAGTAGCGATGCCCTTGTTCCTAGTAGTAAGAATGCTCCTAAGACTGAAAAAGCGAGAACCTGCCACAACTTCACATCGGAAGAGCTTGGATCGCAAAGGATGTGAGTGTTCACCTCAAGAGGATTGAGGATTGTAGTAAACGATCACCATAAGGAACTATTTCTTTGCGCATTGAGGAAACCGCAACAACCAGGCAATGACCACCATTGGGCCCAGCCTCAGACACCGCAACAAGTAAACACTCAAAAAACAAAGACTCGGTTCTCGCCTGGCAGCTGTTGGTTGCTTTGATCTGCAGATCTTCCAACATAACGGCTAAAGCGATATTTCCTTCCAGAATCTTGTGAAGTGAAGGCACAGGAGCAGCGAGTTGATATAAAGCATCTAGGACGCACAAAGCAAGGAAACGTCTACTTGCAGCTCTCCTTTGGATAGCCTTTGAAGACCTCAAGCCCAACAATGTGCAACTGATGTTGCTACTTTAGCCTTCTCTCCATGTTTCAAACTGAAATACACTCAGGTTCTGACACCTTTGGTCATCACCAGTATTTCGAATTTCAGTGGATGTTTCACGGTCGTAGTCGATGACCTGAACAAACAGCACCACAAGTTATATACTTGCAACACTGTATGAACGTGAATGTTGCTACATTGAATTTTGGAACCGCCTGCTTGTCAACTCGGCGGAATCGAGTAGTTTTGTAAAAAGTCGCACAGCCTGCAACAAAACTCATGCACACTTCTTCCACTCTTCCTCTTCAAGATTGATTCAAACCCGCTCCAGCCTTCTGCTGTGTACTTCCCACGATGGAAGATTGGATCCTGCAGACCAGCACGTGCGTCTGCCAAAGGTTTCATATTCATTGTGTCTTGTTTCATTGCATTTCGTCTTCTTCCACATGGTGCGGTCCCGCTTCTTCTGCTGAAAGACACCTTCGTAGCCTGCGTCCAACAGCTGGGGCCTTCCACGCCGATACCAAAGTCAAGTTGAAAGCACTAGGAACAAAGGGCATCGCTACTAGGAGCAAGGACGCTACTAGGGGCTCCTGGCATCGCTACTAGGAGCAAATAGCTACTAGGAGCAAAGCAGAGAGCTCTTTGACTTGAAGACATCTAAAGGGCCTGACACTCAAGTGGCTAAACATTCAGATCTCTTCGGCGGGTAAATTTTGCTATGGCATTGGCGTTTGTTGTCGTGTTCCTTATATTGCTGCCGCTGTCCCCACGCAATTTATATCAGGCACTGAGGTGCAAAAAACGGCACCAAAACGGAACCGCAGAACCAATCAAGGATTGCAATACTACAAGGAACCGAATAGAGATGTTCGCAGCGCACCGCAACCCGGCTCCTTCACCCTGAACCAACCCCACGCCACTGTGTCATCTTCCAGAGGCAACAATTGGCCGACAAGTTGAACTCAACTACAAACCGCCAATGCAATGATTGGGAACACCAGCCAAGCCCATAGAGCCACTGCCAGGTGATCAAATTCATCTTGGTCAGGCAATAACCCTCACATGCACAGGCTGACCCTACAGCCCTACAAAGGGTCGTCTCAAGATTATATTGTCGGTTCCGAATGGAGCCCGAAGTCCCTGCGTAGCAAAGCACAAGCAGATTTGCTGTGAAGAACAGCAGGAATTATGCAGGCAACAAGAATTCACCTACAGTAAGTAATACCCGAACCAAATCACAAAAGTTGGCCTGAACCATTCGTCGTATGCATCCTTCTGGACCTTGTTGCTTGCATGAAACATGAATTCAAATTAATCGCTGATGACAGTTCTTTCCATCTCTTCCTTCTTTCCATCTCTTCCTTCCTTGCTTCCTTCCTTTCCTTTCCTTTCCTTTCCTTGCCTTGCCTTGCCTTGCCTTGCCTTTCCTTTCCTTTCCTTTCCTTTCCTTTCCTTTCCTTTCCTTTCCTTTCCTTTCCTTCTTTCCAAGATAGAAAGGCCAAGACCTCTTGTAGTGTGATGATGTCAACTGCCATCGACTTGAGCTCCTAGAGGATGGAAATGTGATAGTGGATCTGTCAAGCACTTTCACCCTCGCCTTCATGATCAAATGCTTCCGCCAGGTCCACGAGAGGGCCCACTTCTCGCAATAAGGATAGACCTTCATTTCTGCGGCTAGATGAGGCTTATCAGCATCTGCAGATTCATCTTGGATCTTGAGCTGAGGCGACTGCAGATTCATTTGCATAGAGGTCAGCCAGAACCTCATGACAATTTGTGCAGCTCAGGATGTTCAACTTGACCCCAAAAGGCAATTGCTGGAAGGGAAGGAGAGCTGAATTCATTGCATTCAAGGGATTTATATATGAGCAAAGATATTGTAAAATTACCTTTTAAAGGGTAAGGTAAGGGCCCCTTAGATCAAACCCTATTCGCTCACCCATCCTGGTGGAGTTTAACCAATCCACTCTTAGATTCTCTTGTCGTTCAAAAGGATCTGGCAAGCATGTTGTGGGTGCAATATAGATTCAATCGCTGTGTTTGGCAAGGTCGGAGCATTCCAATTCATCACTTTGAACTGCTTGTTCAGCCAATCTGCCTCGGCGAGAAGCTTCCGAAGCGAATTCCCACGCAATCCCATTCCATCAGTTTTGTCTGTCAATTCCCGGAACTGTGGTACCCTGTCCACTGTGCCTACTCCAAGAAGCGTGGGCATGCATCTGCAGCACATGCATCTGCATTACAATGATAGTTGACCAATGGACTTAGGTGGCAATCTCAGGCCGACTCATGGATTTGACCACGTTGGTTGGTCAGAGTTCGACGGCAGCGTGCCTAAAAGTCTGGGCCAACACGTCAGGCACAAATTGAAATGCAATGCAGAATGTGCGATTCGAGTCATGCTGCCTCCTGAGGAGTTGGGATGACGGTGCCAGTTGTAATGGTCATGCCGTCTTTCTCTGACTTGATGCCGCCCTGGCAGCTTCTTGACTTGATCAATAACACTCCAAACGGCAAAGTTGATGTGGCAACCGGTGCTGTTTGAAGTCATGCATCAACTGGTTTCAGCGAAGACATCCAACCTTGGTGAGTGGTGTTATTTGCAGACGCAGCGGGCGATCAATGTCCTGCAAGCAGAGCGAAATGTCTGGGTTTGCCAACTCTTTCGACCTCTTCATGACCACTATTGTCGCTATTGTTTTCTCAATCTCTTGCGCTCCGTCTCACCATGTGGCTCCTTTGTGCTCTTCACTTTACTAAGGTCGAGTGAAAGGAGTCGTTGCAAAAGACACGGTTTTGCGATAAACCGCAGCATCTCTCTATTTCCATCGGTCACACGATAGATACTCTGCAGCTTGAGTTTCATCACTTGTCCTCTTTGCTTGGGCAGTAGGACCGAGTTGTGGCCTTGTGCATTAGTCAGTACAAGGAAAATTGCAGTATTGAACTCAAGAATAGCGACACGCGCATGATCATGACCACATGAACCAAAAAATGAATCACTGAATTCCAAGTTTAAACACATTTGCAAACAACAAGTAGTTCCAAAGGCAGTGACCACTTCCACCCACTCAGCAAGCATTTCCTCCAAGCTCAGAAAATGGGATGGTCAGAAAGGCACCATACTTTCACAAATATCAAGCCAGTTCTCTTCAAACTTCAGGCAAAGCAAAATTCACACGTAGTGACGTAGTCAGTGTTCATGTGGGTAGATATGCGCTTTGGACCTTCGTGCTAAGTGATGATACAAATAAAGTGCCCGTCTCATACTCTTGTGACTTACCTCAACCTTTGAGGAGCAGCAAGCTCAAAGCACGTCCTTGTCTACATCATCATCATCCTTTGTGCCCCACCTTGGTTGTCGCTCCAACGCACGAGTGCTGCTGTGGATCTGTTCTACACCGAACGAATTCCCTCTTGTACAGTGAGTCCCAAGTTCACCTGACTGCGCCACCACCAGTTATACTATTACCATTATGTACTTATGTATATATAACATAAAATATCATATCTCACTGAAAACCAGAAAGCTGTAAGCATCCAATGTGTCTATTGTCTCCCTTCCTCTCTGTCTCTCTTCCTCCTTCCTTCTCTCCTTCCTTTCCTTCTTTCCTTTGCTTCTCATGCTTCCGGGTTCACACCTTTGTCTGTCCGTCTGGCCTCCTCTCTCCCTCCCTCCCTCTCTCTCTCCCCCCCTTCCCCCTCTCCCCCCTCTCCCCCCCCCCTCTCTCTCTCTCTCTCTCTCTCTCTCTCCCTCCCCCCCCCCCCCCCCCCCTCCCTCTCTCTCTCTCTCTCTCTCTCTGGACTGTTCGGATGAAAGAACAACTCAGGTCCATACTGCGTCTTGGGGATGGTGTTGTACCCCTTCAAAAAGCACTCCTGTGCTCAAGGAGCAAACTGGGGACTTGATAAAAGATTATTGCCTTTCAGATCTTCAGACTCTCACCAAAAGCACAGCATGTTTGTCCTTCGAACAATAGCAGAGGTGAGTCTTTGCCTCACAAACGAGAACAAACTCGCGAACATCCATGGCTGCGCCGATATTTGTTATTTATATATATATATACATATTATCTGAGTCCAGCACTACATCTTTGATCATGGACTGCTTGTGAGGGTGGTAGAAGCAAGGCCTCGGTTTGTGCCAGTCCGATGATTGATATCTTGCCTCACCTGATATATGTTGTGAGGAGGCCGCTTCACGACTGGCCCTCGAAGCCATCGATATTGCACATGTTGGCCTCGATTGTGTTGCATCCCCATCAGACTCACCTTGCTTTCAACCTTCAAGTGAAGTACTTTCCGCTGGGCGTCCTACAGTTTCCTTTGTCTTCAAACTGCCTTCCGTCTCTGTCTTTCAGTCCGATGTAGACAGGCACCTGAAAAAAGACTGTCATCGTCCTTCCTGGAAGGCTCGCCGCTATGCTGGCCTCTGAAACCACCACTGGGCGGTGCCCACGAACAAGTTCAGCACGGACCACGGTCACAAGCGGCTGTTCCTGGCATTTGACTTTAGCCACACGGACCATGACCACGGTCACAATGCGAGAAAGTCAGAAAAGTCCCTGCAGGTCTGGAACTGATCCTTCTGAGGCAGTCCTCATCCGATGCAGATCTGCTGCTGCTTGAGCCTGCCAAGAAATGCAGTACCTACAATGTCCTCCCAAGCAAACATTCACACTAGTGCGGCCACTGGAACATTCTGTGCAACCTGATATGTTGACGGGCACACCTCGCTCGGGACTGCGCCCAGGTGCCATGAGGATTTCCTGAGCAAAATGGGTGGGTTCAGAGGCCTTACAGCACCAAACACTCACTCATCTGGCACATGTTTGTCGTTGCTTTCATGAGGCTGTGCATGGAATGCACAAGCAGCTCACTCTCCTTGCCTCAACAATGCCCGATTGATGGCTGCAAGGATTCTCAATTCAGATTCTTGCTAGAATGCAGCAATGTTAGAATTGGGTCCTATTCAATGAACTCCAATTTGTTGTGATCTAGCATTAGCTGGCCAGCTGGTAGGCTTGTGCATGACGTGGCCAAGTGAACTCTTTGAGCCAATGAATGTGGGCCAAAGTGTTTTTTTGGTTTTCTAGTGTTTGACCAAGAGAGATTGCAAAGCTGCAGCATTCAACGATGAGAACCAGGAAATGTGGCTCTTGGGTGACAAGCTATGGGTGACAAGAAAGGAATGTCCCTAACCTCTGGAAAGTCTCATTTGATAGAGGCCATCCCGGACATGCCTGGAATGTCACCAGGCTTTGTCCGTCTGCTGTGGCAGATCTGATCTTGGACCGTTTGCCACACTGGCAGGCGCGAGGCTCAGGTGGCCTCATTTCCGGGAACCCCCCTTGGATTGTAAGACCTCTTCATTGCCGCTCTGCCAACCTGATAGCGATGGCCTCCAACCTAGGTGGCTTCATTTCCGTGAACTTCTCGTTGAGTTGTCATGGGAACGCACCTGAGGCGAACCCTTGGCAGAGCTGTCACCCGAACGTCGGGTCCCTGCACTTCTCACAGAGTTGTCCTTGTCTCCACGGCGAGATGCCCACTCTCTAACGGTTTCCACAAACCTCTCAGCATCTGCCTTGATTTCCTTTGGCACATTGGCTTCCACCAAAGCTTTCACCCAGCAGGTCTTAACCCATTCCATAGATAGTCTGCGTTCGAAAAGAGTATGGCCAGTGCTCTTGTCGAAGGTGAAAGTGTCACATTTGATGACATTGAAGCAAGTGCCGTATGGGACGTCCAAAGTCATGATGACGCTCTCAAGCAAGACCCTGGAGTCATCTGAAACAACATGCCATGTGGTAGTTACACGAGACTCCTTTGGGCACATAGGTGCTGGAGGCACCGGGACTCTCATCTCCATCGAGCGCAGCTTTCCCTTCACCTTCGAACCAGTGCCTGCAGCGCTGCCTTGAATCCAGGGAGCCAGCTCAATGTTGTACGCTTTCAACGAGTCCTGCGACCGTCCATTCTCAAAAAGAAGGTTGAAAAGGCAAATAAAACCTTATATAATTGCACTAATGAAGACTATGCTTCCTAGGTTTGGCAGCTTCAAAACAAGTCCTTCAAGAACATGGACATCAAGTGGCCATGGCCTTCCCAATCATCGCTTTCCAAATCTGCTTTGATGGCCTCCAAAGGCAAATTCCCCAAATCCACCTCAAGAATCTGCTGGGGAGGCGAGACTCCCTTCTCCTGCATCAAGGTGGAATTCAGCCGCCGTGACTTCCGCGACCCTGGGCTATCGTCTCCAGCAGGTTCAGGCAAGAAGGTGGGCTGCCACCTCCTCCGGGTGGAGTCACATAGAAATCTATATTCATAGAATAATCTAGCATCACTGCACTAGCATCACATTATATACTATGCCACGTTTGCTCTACAACATGAAACAAATGTCTGTGAACAATTTGCATGGAACCATGACCAAATCCATTCAATTTGAGCCGCTCAAGATCGAACTGTCGTTTCCCACCTCCGGCGGACATGAGAGAATCCACGCACGTATTCGCTCCATTTCTGTGGCTCCAAATAGAAATCGACTGCATATTGCCATCCATCACCATCGCTGGTCTCGTCAATGACTACATGCCATTGACATGGCCTCCGGCGTCCAAGAAATTTGACCTCCCTGATAGGAGGCTCCTCAGATTCAGCTGCTTCATCAATATCGATGTCTTCCGGAATGAAAGGATGCGGGATGTAGTGCTCATCGATGGCCATCCACTTAATGGCTTTCTGGTAATCATGGGGAAGAAAAGGCGCGCGCCAATCATTATGCCAAATGGTCGTGCGCCTTTGGAGTTCCCACACTAGGCTGAGCTCTTCAAGATCAGCAATCATCTCTTCAGGAGTGATAGCATTCATTCGTGCACGAGGACCAGATGACAGAGCCTCTCCAATGCCTGGTGATGTTGGGTACTCCACTGGTTCTGAGTTTGCAGATGGTACCATGTCAAACAAACCGGTTCCATTGAAGTATGAGACACAGGAATGTAGCTGGGCTAGCATCCCTACATCAAAAATCATCAAATCCAACCTGACCACTTTGACTCCATCTATTTCAATGGACTGCTTCAGGCAAATGCGCACAGGATGCATAGAGCTGTCAGATTGAATCAATCGAGCCCACTCCAGTTGCGACCAAGAGATTGAAAGCCGAGCTTCCATTCCGAGAACTGATGACCGAAAGCATAGGCGCTCTGATGTGATATAAAAGGTCCCCGGATGGCGGAAGGTCTCGGATTGCACTAGACAAGGAAGAGCCATGACTAACAACTCCCCTGTTCCAATCGAAGCCGAGAAATACTCCAAGAAATCCTCCAAATCTTCACCTTCAGCGAGCCGAGGGAGACCTAGTTCTGCCAGGAGCTCTTCCGGATCGGTGTTTTTGAAGGAAATGGTCGAGGTTGAGTGGAGTTGCTTTTGGGGCAACAGCCATTTTTCAACAGCTGCCAAATGCCTGGCCGCAGCACGCAGGTGCTCTTGTGGCGCCGAATGATCGTTCAAGGCTGCTGCTTCGCGATGAAGCCGAGCACACTTCTCCCGGGCAGTGCGCAAAGCTGTGGCGGCTCGCTTCTTTTTGTTGATCAGCCTTTAGGGGAATCGAACAAGACGGATGTATTTGATGCGCTGTTCAAGTTTCAATCCGGTTGGTATTCGCATGGTACTGCACTCGTTAATTCGCTTGAGCCCTTTGACATGGGCTTTAACATCCCAACATCATGAAGACCATGTGGGAGTGTCCTGCATGCACCCAGTATGTAAGACTTCTGTCATGCTGCTGGCAGCTGTGTCATTTTGAAAATCAACATCTATGGTACATCATCTCTTGTAGGCGTGTAGTCCTTGTTCTGTCTGTCATTGTCCAACGATAGCTTTGTGGAGGTAGTAGGATGCGTGTGATAGGTCTCGATCAGTGAAAAATATCGCTGATGAATCAACACAGTCAGTCGAGTTGAGAGAAAAGATAGACTTAGGCACAAAGACGATAGAAAAAGAGAGCTATAGAGAGAGAGAGAGAGCGCTTAAAAGAGCGCAAACTCCGTCGGCAACTCAGTCCTTGAGAGGCCCACCCAAGTCAAGCAGCAATCGCTAGAGCAGCAAGGCTCCGACCTTCTTGCTCGGGATCCGCATGGAGCCCTGCACCAGCTGAGATCGGCACACTTCTCAATGCCAAACCATCGCATCCCGCAAGGAGAAGCCAAGCAACTAGAGGAGTTTGTGAACTGAGTCCCGATTTGGATCTTGGCAATATGCTAAAGGCTGTCATCTCCTTTGCTTCGGGCTATGATTATTTGGGGGGACTGAGAACCAGTCAAGTGCCATGCAGTTTCTTCTTGAGCATCATGCCGAGTTAAGGATGAAAAGATTGGGCTGGTCACTGATTACAAGTCGGGAAATCTCTCTATATAAGCCTGATGGAGTGTGGTAAAAAAGGAATTGTCAGCTAAGCTCCACATATGTCAAACAAGCAAAAGCCAGCAAAGCGACAGACTTTTTCAAAACAATGGCAGAGCAACTGCTTTTGCTCTGGCTTCTGTGTCTGCCAGATATGGAAAGTCCCGGCTCATTGATGCCCTTGGCGAGCTGGCCTTGGGGCTCAGCCAAGCTGAAGAGCCGCAGCAAATGCTAAAAAGTATTGACAAATCGTAGTTTACTGTATGTACCTCTGTGTGCTTCTATACACTTCGATAGAAACACTTCGTCTTTCTTTTAGATCTGCTTCGGCACTCACTCAAGCTTTTTCCTAAACGTGCCATGCCCGTTTCTACGTTTGGGAAAGGCGAACTATGAATATAGCTGCGACGCATTTATGACCCATCTGCTAGCCCTGCTCGCCTCAGTGTCGGCATCCAATCCGGTGCTGTCCTCTTCTTGGCCTTTGAGCTCGGAACCCAGGGAACAAAGAACAACAAAGGCGTGCAGAATATGGTTCAAGATCACAAAGGTCGTTCAACGAGACCATTTCCCTTAGAGCGCGTCTGGATGTGCAAAGCCTAGATTAGCTGGTCTGATCTGAGCAAGAGCTTCCTGTTCCTGCGGCATGATGATTTCACTGAAGCTCATGAGTGTTGTAGAGGGTCACTGTCAGGGTAACAGTTAGTCCTCTTCGTCAGAAGCAGCGACTTTGGCATTTGCTTTGACAAACACACTATTCAAAGCTGCAGCTTTGGCAGCAGGTGCATCACCAGTTACTACCTGCGACAAGTCAAGTCTGACTGGAAGCAGTATTTTGCCTCTATCAAAAATGCTGGGGCCCGACTTGGCGTGTCTCCTTCTCCCTGACTTCATGTTTCTCCTCCAAGGTCATCCACTGACAGCTGCGCCTACTTTGGAAAAGGAATGCCTGCAGCAAACAACAACATAACATTTTACAAGTCTATAGTTTGGTTGACTCAAATTCATGCATAAATTTGTTGGTTCTTTCTATTTCAATTTGTCTTCTTACTTCGGGAAACAATTCGAATAGGAACGGTTTGAAATGGCTCCTGAGGCTCGATCAGAACCTCCTCCTCCTGCTCCTCATCACCGTCCTCACCGCTCAGCCTCGACTCCTCTGGCTTCGGCGACATTTCAACATGCCTCATTCTCGACTTAACTCCTTTGACCAACCATCCATCTTCACTATTCTTTATTGGAGTCAATATTTGTTCCCCAAACAGTGTGGACACACTTAGGGGTTCTTACGGTAGGTGTAAAGCAGCTGATGCTTAGATCGCTGAAGCGGGCGGGCGTGGACGGCTAATTCGTT